CATCAAACACGCGGTGGACGTAGAGGCGTCTGCCCGCCGGTGGCTGCAACGGACCCTGCCCTTGGAAAACGATGGCGGCGGCACAAATACATTTCCACTGCTGTTGTTTCTTGCCACCTCTCCGCCACCGCCGCTGCCGCTTGCGCTACCGTTGCCACCGCCTCCGCTGCCGCCCATTCGGACCTTGCCGTTGTTGCGCTTACCGAACCAATTCATGGTCACTTACGACAAGAGCTGGAATAGGAAAAAGATCAAGTAAAACGCATGGTGATGAACCTCGCTCCTCGTCGTCGCATACCAATCCGGTAACTGGCAGATATTTGTAGCAACGACTTTCTTCTTTCTTCTTTTCGTCGTCGTCTCGAAAGATCGCTGACCACGACGAAACACGCAACCGGCGACAACCCTTCTACCAGTCAAGTTGGATTTACACACCTGAAAAGCAAAAGATTCTATGAAATGCCAAAAATGCTACTGCAAGACAGCGTCGTCTGTCGTAAATCATTAACCAACTCGAAAAGCGGCGAGTCGCGGAAGCAACGTATTTAACTCTGGCAATCGACACTGCTACGTTTTACGTTGTGGGAGGCTGGGTGAGTGAAATAAGAAAACATCGCCTCGTTCGACAGCGGCGACAATCGCCACCATCACCCATTACTGCCTTTACGGTGTTTTCGACAGAATTTTATTTTTTAACTTAACATAAGGGTCATTAAAATTTTTGATCAAGCGTCTTCGCAATGTTCTCCTGTGTCCTCGGTTACTTAACCTGTTCGTTAGGTGACGACACCAGCCCTGGGGTCAAACTAAATTAGTCGTTTGAAGATTTTCCGACAGACACCTGTGGGCGTAAAAACGGACGACGTTGACTGATGACCGTAAAGATCAACAAGCGAACTAGTAGCGAATACACAGCAACGGTAAAGTGGTGTGCTGTGCACCACAGAAAGACTAAAAAGGTGTGCAACGCCCTGAAATTTGAACGCTGCATCGATGGGCACCTTACGAGAAGGTTCGCAAACTTTCCATATATCACTTTCGTACTTAGCTTTACAAGCATTTAACCTGAATGGGAAATGCACAAAGCAGGCTTGATCGCGATGGGCGAATTTTCAGGACGTCGAAGCACTCGTTACCAGCAAATGCGCTTGTTGACTTCGTAGATAAAACGCACTGGTTTTTCTGAACAACGATCGCGCCCAAATTCTAGATGAATGTGCCATTTATTTCTTATCATTATATGGCTGCACCAATATCGGCCACTGATAGGCTTGAAATAAATTTGGAGGAATAAATACGTTTTTAACTTAACCTTTGGCCGAAACGTCTAGGTCAATCTGTTCGTAAAAAATACTTTACAAGACTTAGTTAACTACAGGAATAATACTCGTCTCTTCATGTTAAGAGTGTCAATGGAGTGTCATCGGACTCTAAACCCATTCTCTAGGAATCCATGAACCAAACTCAGCCAATGGCAAAAGACGTATACCTCACATCTTCCACCATCATTTATATTAATAGAAGATTCGTTTACATTCGTTCTTCCTAAACGGAAGACAAACCAGACTCAATAAACCTACGCTAACAGAACTGGTTGGTCGTAGAACACGATGCGGTACACTCTGATTCTGCTAATTTTTGGATGTCACCCTTATACCGGGAGACGATCGGTCAACCATCTAGCTCGCCCAAAAGACAACGTCAAGAATTATATACGAGGTTCCGCTGAACCACGCACGTCCAACAGATCATCCAAGGACGTGCTGCGCGATCCGACTGTTGTTAAGCGACTTGAACGGCGTGAAGGCATAAAGCGAAAAACAGAGTATACTAGACGATCGACGACTTGGATGAACAAGTCGGAAAATGGATCCATCCAGCACTGTGTCTGACTTCTGCTCGCTTCAACTCACTGACTGAGTGGAGCCATCGCAGGTAAAGTAATTCGTTCTCGACAAATCAGCCAGTTCTGATATAGGACGATAGCGGAAGAATATCAGTTTCTTTAGAATTTTGTAAATTAATGGAAAATTCACTGATCCAGAAAGAGCTAACACTCATTCAAAAGATCATTCAGAACATGACGGTGGACAAATGAGTGGAAGTGGTCATGACATGCATTCAATTTTAAATACGTAAAGAAGGGGATATTCTACTTTAATTTCCATTAATTACCAATAGACGAATATTTAATTCGCAACTATATTAAATGTTTAGATCCATTCTGTTGTCGCTCAGGAAAAAAGTTTACCTGCCGCAGTTTAAATGTAATCACTCCGTCGGTGAGATAGAGGACAACGCTGGTCTCAAAATCGGCGATTTAAAAAAATGAATGAAACTTAAATGAATACTTTTCATGAAACAAGAATCAAAGGAGGCCAGAAGTGGCATAGAACTCTGTTTCATATATTTCGACATGCTACATAACTCACCAAACCTATAATTGACTACTTTACAAAAGTAGTAAAATATCGCGAAAACGACGAACCCGGATATCACGCACAAAAGTCATTTTTGAAAACCCACAGTACCACCGAAAGATCATATTCAACAGAAATCATGCCAGTCTATTTTAAAGTGCTCAAGCAGAAACAGCCTATAATATTCTGTGTTTAATGCCAATGCGAGTTGCTGAAACCGCATATTAGCATACACCTGTCGCAATGCAGCTTGCCATAATATCATACATCAATAGCCTATTTAAGGGGTTCGTATACGGCTAGGCGACACAAAGGTAACGTCAGATGAATTCGAATAAGCGAAAGATCCTCAAGAAAACTGGCACTGAATATCGACCAAGCGCTGATATCAGACATACAAGATCAAGTCTGCACAACAAACGGTGTACAGAAAGAATGGCAACTGCATTCGTTGCGGTTCCGTTTATCTTGTGAACGTGTGACGTCAACGCAGTCTTCAGCCAATGAGATTTATCAACAGTTGAACCAGTTGTTGATATAATTACGGCTCAATAATTTTCCTCGTAACAATCGACTTTCACTTACAACGGGGAAAACAGAGTTGAACGACGGACGAAATGAACGATGTGACAACGGTCAAATGTTCAGCATCTATATTCGCAGTAGTGTTCAGTTCGATCATATCACCAGCTGAAAGATCAAGACTTGACCTTTAGCGGGAGCCTGCAGCATAGCTGCTTATTTCTTTACGCCATGAATTCATGATCACCTTCCAAAGAAGTCACCAATCAGCCTAACTGACTCTGACGACGACAACGATAATGTTCAGCTTTGTCGAGTCATAGGCCTGCTTAACCACCCGTCACATTCAACTGTCTCGTGGTCTGTTTCAGGCTCACTGGCGGGAAGACGGAAATAAAGCAATGCCAGAATATTTTCCTCTACACTGATGTACACCATCATCACGCCCGAGCTCGAATTAAACGGAAATGATACAAATTTCCTGAAAACTCAATGGAGTAACATAACAGTGGTAATAATATTAAAACTGATAAGTCCGTTATACGAACAACGACTGGAAACGGTATGATACAATGGCACATCAAGCAATACTGCATTATTCAATGATACAATGCGTACCACTGTAGAATCCACGCACAAATGAACAATTTCCATCGATTTGCGTCCTTCATTATTAAAATGAAAGCTTGTAGAACTCCGTGTCTTCTTCTTCAGTCGCGTTCAGTACACACTAGTATGGCATAAAGTGCAGTATGCGACTCTATATCACACGTTACTATACTGTATTGCACATTTCATGTTTTCCTATACTACCACATACGTACCAGGGTAGCATCCTCTGCTGCAATATATTAAACATTTTATAAAACATATTATGCTTCATAAAGTACACTACAGTGTTATACTACTATTATACTATTAAGCTGCATTTTATTGCAGAACAGTACTTTATAATATATACCGTTACATACAAACTATTCTGTAGTATTCTGTGACAACGAGACAAGGCTCAAGCATAGTTATCATACTCATATTGAGTATACCACAATACTAATAGAGTACTATAACACAGCATAGCGTATACTGTGCTCTACGTTCTTTGCATCATGCTATAGTTTATATTATATCACACTACTTATGACCATGATAAATTCTGATAGCTTCCCCGTATATCATAATATATGTTATACAGCATACTACAATTTCACTCTGTGGTATAGTACATGCACCAGATTTCGTACTATATAATACGATAGTACTATATTATGTTAATGATATAAGTTGTGATCTTCAGGTAGAGAAGGCCGACTTAAGAAGGAACTTGCCGTGCAGTTACGTAACCGTTTCTCATGCTATATGTTATTAATATCACTTAATATAAGAAAATGTTCTAAAAGTCATTTATATCTTATACCACAAAAATATACTCGCTTCTGGTAGAGAACTTGAAATTCACATGACTGTTGAACCGAACTCCTAAAGAAAAGATCGATACAGTACATATAATGCATATATAATCGCGCAACAACTTTATCTGACCAGTACAGTGAAGTTTTCCTCTTTGACTGAGGTTATAATAAAGATTTACTATACTATATTAGATTGCACCATGTCATACCATTCCACACTGCATTATACTATGTTACACTATAGCAGGCCAACAGGCACCGCTCATTTTTTAACGTTTCACTTAATTCTGACCATCATTAACAGAAACAGGGCGGTGTCAGAATGACAGAAGTCCGCCCTGTAGTTCAAATCAGAATCATATTTAAGGCGTATCACACCTGAAGAAGCATGGCAGAGCACACCAAAGCAACGAATCTTATGTCCGTTAAAGAATGAGACAGTATGGGAGAGAGAGAATGACATACCTATGTATAATACGCCATTTTCAGCAACGTTGAATACAATGCCATATGATGCGATATTACACTACTTACTCTGCATTGGTATATTAATGTACACTACGTACGCTCGTTCATTTGTAACTGCACATATACCATATATATTCTGTATTATAGCCTAACACCAGTACAATAACAAATAACCAAATGACATTAACCAGAATATAATGTTAAATAAACATACATGTTAGCATACTATTTAACATAGTAACAAAGTTCACGAATGATATATTATACATACCTATCGTATAAATTGTGTATTATATTCTATGCATGTATACCATATACTGTATACGTACCAACTACTATACGTGTCCATCGTACGCATATAGCACACAATATATACAAGTAGTATATACTGAATGGCAATCTATACATGTATATCATATGCGTAAGTATTTATACTGTCTACTATATACGTGCACATAGTGTACATACCTAGTAGAGCAGTATAATTTATATACACGCAGTATTAAGCATGCATACTAAGTACACATTCTGCACTGCATACTAGTAAATATAGTACACACATGGTATAAGTGCAGGAAGTATATCGTACATATGTACATACTAATGTTAGTACTATATACTCCGCCGCAATACGTGCTGTCTACCCGTGATCACCCTAGCAGTTTAAAATTACAGATAATTCCTGAAATGACAAAGTAGTAAGAAAGCCATTTAAGCTTGGTCAACAAGATATTCAGCTCTGATATGATGCAAGATTGAAAAATGACGGTCATTCAGTCACTCAATCAGTTTCCATGAATGCTTTTCCTTTCCCGCCGCGAAAGCGGGCGCCTGACATGCTTTGTTTATAACCTGCCCAATTCATGCCAGGTTGTGAGCCTTGACAAAAGATAATCTGAGTCTAGCGCAGAGTCTGTCGAGACACTTACCCCAAGTCATTCTTGGCCGTCCGCAGAGACTTCAGTACGTCAGCTGGGCGAATAACAGACGTTCCAGGTTCTTTTCTGGAAACATTCGCAAGACGTGTGTATTTATGGCAGAAGTCATTTTTCAATCTGCAGAAGAAACAGCTGTATGCTACCAAGGGTGTACTACATATAAGAATTTTGAACCATGTCGATAACGGTGAGACCGGCGATTTGACCCGAATTACCCGAGGCCAGCAAACTCCAATCATTTCTCAGCTACCTGTTGTAATACGAAGGGCTGATCAGAAGTGCTTCGGCCTGACAAGAAAGTACTGTGTTCCCGATATCAGAATCAGTTATTCAGCCCCAGCTCCTTTCTAACACCTTGTGCTTAGATGGTTTCCCCACGGGCTCAATAAAATAATGCCCAACACTTCCTGTTGTCTCTATCCTTGAAAACTGGTACTATCACCCTGTTCTCCATTGCACTGGTGTCTTCCTCGTAACTACTGCTGTCTGACAGGCACAAGCTACCTATAACATGCTTGTGAGTCGAATTCTTTAAGCAGATCAGTTCAGATTTCGTCGATTGCATCAACCTTTCCATTTTTCTGACATTCTCCAGATTTTATTCCAGATTCATCTACTAAACGATTAATATCAATTGTAAGTCTTCCTGTAGTTGTCTCCGGTAGTGAAGTTCCTCAAAGTACTCTCTCAGTAGAGGAAACATGTCCTCTTCCTTGGTAGGACGTGTCCTTCAGGACTCTTAGACCGTGCTTTTTCATAACGTGGGCGGCTAGAATACCTTGCTTGCTGTCTGCAAATTTGTCCCCAGCACCTCACCAAACTTTGAACGAATTATCTTTCGCCCTGGCCGCTATTTTTGGACATTCTTCGTACCGCAACTCGAGTCGAAGGCTCTTTTCATCCAGGCTACATGTAGAATGCAGCCTTTTCGCCGACAGCTAATGAAACTACTGGTGTCATAACCAGGACGTTCGTTTATGACCATCAGGCGGAGGGGAATACGTTTTAAACTGCAGCATTATACGGAAGCGCCGAGTAGGCTGATCCCAAAGTGCTTCCATTCGATTTCCACATTACACACCACTGACCTTATTTGCAAGTTTTGCCCTCATATCCGCAGAAGATAATGTCTAACATGTGATCCCATTTAAACAGAAGCCAATGTGACTGGTTGCTGCTGCCGTCCGTTCTTTGCGTGGTACTTCATTTTTTGCTATGGATGGTGCCAAGAAAATGGTTATGATCGGCCGACAGCAGTGCGTCTCTCTTGTCGCGAAGATCCATTATAGAGCGTAGAAAGAAACAAAATTATCAAATCGATCATGAACTACTGTGCTCGAACTTTTATGTACCAGGTAAACTGCTGCACTTTCCAATCATGGTTTTGCAATTTTCAGCGTCTGCTGCGACATGTGCATTAAAATCGCCCATGAGTGTGCGAGACTCCGTATTCGGCATTCGTCCACTTCTTCAAAGAGGGACTCATATTCTCTCTCTCTCTCTCTCTCTCTCTCTCTCTCTCTCTCTCTCTCTCTCTCTCTC